GTTCTGACAAGTGTCGTCGGCATCTTCATATCCGGTCACATGGGCGGAAAGCCACTCCCACAAAGGAGGCCACACCCACAGAGTAGGTTCGAACATTTTTTGAAACCCACCACTGGCATGCATGCAAGCTCCCTTTTGGCACCCGAGGGAACAAAGGGTTTGCCAACACTGCCTTAATGGTTATTTGGGTATCCAAAAGAAAACAAGACTTATTTTCGGGGAAACACAATTGTAATCTCCTCAACCCGCCCAAAACCCAACAAATAACCTTCTGAAGAAAGACATAATAAAGGTTTATTATAGATCTTGCAAATTTCCCGCTGTGGTTTTTCTCTCCGCGACTTGAACGCTGTTTTGGCTTCTCTCCAACCCCAACCGACGCGCCTCCTAGAACCCGAATTTGGATCCTCAGAGCTTATGGAGCTTATGGAGAAGCATGGTGCGCAGTTCCTTGTTGGTGACGTTCTCCACGATGGACTCCAGGAAGTGGGCCTCGTTCGCCTTGCGCAGGGCGCTCCCCAGCGATTCGTCGAGGTCGTACAGCATCTCGTACTGCGAGAGGATCTCCAAGGAGAGGAGCAGGAGAGGTTCCTCAGTGCCGTGGTTGGGCAGCATAGCGGCCACGTGAAGCGCGTGGCAGAACATCTGGATGTAAACAAAGGACAACTCCCGGATGACGTTCTTCTCTTCCGCAGAGTGAAACTGGCCACGGGCGATGGTCTTCACCGATCCCAGCAGATCGGATAAGCCGAGGCAGTAGAGCCTTCCTACGTGTTTCCATGCCTCCGTTGGCATCCATGTCGTGCCGCTGGAACCGCAGAGGAACTGGAAGGCCCGCAGGAGAAGCACGGACAACTGGAGGTGGTAGGCAAAAGGCCGGAGGTTCAACAACGGTAAATACTGGACATACTCCAGCGAGTAAGGTACATAGAGGATCTCCCGTTCCAAGAGACTTTTGATCACGTGGACAAGTCTTCTCCACTCGCTTTGGCTACACCACGGAAAGACCTGCACAAGGGCCACCAAGAACCCTTTGCTGAAGAGGTTGACTTCTTCGGGGTTGTCCACGTTAATCACGAGGAGAACGAGCATCTGCTCCCGCAGGGCCGTTGAGACGCAACACGTCTCCAACCAAGCCAGCAACCCACTGCCTGGCCCATAATTTGGGAGCGGACGGCTGGTCCATTCCTCCTCCGGAAGCTTACACACCTCGAAAAGAGTAGCCGGGACTTCGTTCTTGAAATGTTCCCCAAAGAGGTTCTTCACACGGAGGCCGATGGTCCAGTCCAAGACGCTGATCTTCTTGTGCAACCAGGCGACCGATTGGGTCCACAGCTGTGGAGACAAGGAGTCCTTCTGGACCAGAAGGATATCACAAAGCTGGGCTAGGTTGGTGACCACCAAATCTTTGGTCTCCAAGGAACACCTCTCTTGGTCTTGTGGTTGGTGCCAATATTGGCAGAACCCATCCAGGAGTTTGCAGAGAGAAAAGACGAGGGGAAACGGGTGGCAGGTATGAATCCAGCTCTGTTCCGATGGGACTTTCAAAGCCTTGTCGAGGATCTGCAAGCAGAGCTCAATCCGGGGAGAATCTGATTTCAGAAACGGGAAGATCAAGCTTTGGATTACGTCTGGAGGAGAGAGGAGGGGGCTTGTCCCACTTGGCTGCATGAGGTGAACTAGGAACTCTAAAAACTGCTCCTTCTCCTTGGGGAAAGAGAGACGGTCCCACACCGCCTCCTTCAAACATTCTAGGAGAAAGTGGACGGAGACGTCGGGTTGACCCTGAGGTTCTTGGAAGTTCAGAGCTGGGAATGAACAGAGGATCTCGGCCAAGTACTGATGGGTTCCCAAGTTGGCGATAGCTAAATTGCTGATCTTCTTGATGGTACCTTCTGGGTTGAGGACCACCAGCCGAGACACAGCAAGGATGGCTTTCTTAAAAGTTTCCCCAGAGGCGCTCTTGATGATCTGGTTGAAGGCCACGTTGAGTTCCTCCTGAAATCGTTCCGAGAACGCTACCATCAGCTTGGAGACGCCTTGTCTGCCCCAGGTCGCCAAAACGCCAGCAATGACCTTGTTCTTATCCGGCAAGGAAAGTTCGGTGTAACACTCGAGGATGATCATGACCATCTTGGTTTGTTGTTCTTTTTGGTTTCTGGATGTATCCTTAGAGGATTCTAGAGATGCGACGGTCTCCAGCAACTTCAAGATCAGTTCTGGATCCTGGAAGAGTTCTTTATTCTTCACGAGGCAAGCCACCCAATCCTTGCTCAAGGCCCAGCTCTTCTCCTTCGCAAACACGGAGCACACGTCTTTGTGTCGGTCCATTTTCTTGTCAATGATCACCATGGCGACCGAGGCCACCAGATCGCCGGCATCGCTCTTCCCCCAAGTCTCAGGGTGGACCTTCTTCAGGAGGTCTGCGATGACTTTGCTCAATTCCAACATCACTCGGGCTTGGTCGAGGTCCTCCGGACCGCAATCAGCCGACCTCTTCTGCAAAGATGCCAAGCATTCGAGGAGCCGGTAGCTTTCGTAGCAGACCTGCCGTGGATCATTCAAGAAGACCAGGAGATCTGAAGACCACTCCTTCAGCAAGGAGAGGAGGAAACTTAGGTTGGAGAACACCGATTGCTTGGACAACTTGACCATGTCCAGCAAACTCATGCTCCTCTCGGCTTCCTTCACCTTCGCATCCAAGTCCTTCTTGCTGTACCGGTTTTCACCGTCACTGCTCCAGAGGGTCACCACCGAGGAGATCTTCTCCAAGTAAGCCTGAGGAGATAACACCTTCGCTTCGCACTCGGTGGTCATCAAGGCAGACAAGACATCCACTAAGTTAGCAAGGGCGTAACACTTCATCCTGCTCGATCCGAGGTTGTCTTTGATCGTTTTGAGCCCTTCAGTCAAGATCGGGAGGACGAGATGGACGGCGGAGTTCTCCGGCACGGATGAAGGGCCGCTCTTGAACCTCTTGGGAGGCTGGTCCAGTTCTTCGGACTCCAAAACGTGTTGGTGGGTGACGTTTTGGAAGAGCAGCACCAAGCGGTCTTCCTCGCCTCTTTTGTGCTTCATAATCTCCCACCAAACGTCCAGGAAGAATGCGGCGTCCGCCGGAGACGTATCCTTGGAGACGTACTCCACGAACATCCGAAGTTCTTTTTGGCAAAGGGCATCCGGCAACGCCAGAAGCAGCTGGGTGAAAAGCCGGGGCGCGTTGATGGCCTTGAAGAGCTCAAAGAGAACAGTATGGTTGATCTCCGGGATCGCGTTGCTGACGGAGAAGAAAGCATCGCTCTTCCACCTTTCGTCGGACGGGACGCCCGAGAGGATGAGTTTGGACCAAAGGACAACGGCGGCTTTTTTCTTCCAGAGGTTGGGCTGGGGTGGATAACAGGAATAGGAGGTGCAGATCTCTTGCAGGGCTTCCAGGATGGGTTTGCCCACCACCGGCCAGTCAGATTTGGCCAGTTCGGATAACGATTTAGGATGGCACAGCCTGGACGCCAGCAGGAATCCTCCGTGCAGAATGGTCACTTCGCCGCAGATCGTCACGGGCCCTGTTGCAAAGAAGGAACAATACAGTGGGTCAGGGCTTTCTATTCTTCTACTATGAATTTTCTATGGTGGGAAAATGGGATTGTATGGAGTTAGATGATAGGTAGCCATAACAACATTCTTTCTAGAAAGGCAAGGTCATCCTTTGTCTTTGCACCTCTGCACCTGACCGGAACTGGAGGGGTGGAACTGCCAGCATGGCAGTGGATGATTGGACCATGTGATGGGCTTGTGGGTGTGGGGGCAAGATCTTGAACTTTCAACTGGGTGGGGGAAACCGGGAAGCTTTCAGCTTTGAGGAATACTTTGCCTTGGACTCTGATTTAATTTCGGATGCTATTTGGAAGCCTGACACGGTGAAGAGCAAGCATGGGGAGCTCAAGGCTTTCTACAGGTAGTCCTTGACTTACGACCGCCTAAAATGGATGTCGCCAAGTGAGACATTCGTTCAATGAGCTCTGCCTCATTTTACGACTTTTCCTCACCACATTTGTTAAGGGGAATCGCTGCGGTTCTTCAATTAGTCAAATGGTTGTTAAGTGAGTCTGAATGCCTGTGGAGGAGATTCTCCATCGTCTAGGCCAGTGTTTCTCAACCTTGGCAACTTGAAGATGCCCGGACTTCAACTCTCAGAATTCGCTGGCTGGGGAATTCTGGGAGTTGAAGTCCGGACATCTTCAAGTTGCCAAGGTTGAGAAACACTGGTCTAGGCCACAGTGGTCCCAAAGTTGCATTTTCAAGAGGCAAACTGGACTTCCTTGTTTTTCTTCGAAGGCGTTTGGCTTCTCATCCGAGAAGCTTCTTCCGCTGTGACAGGATGGATCCTCCCCTTTCCCCACCATCCAGTCAGAACTGAAGAAGCTTCTTGGATGAGAAGCGAAATGTCTTCAAAAGAAAAAACAAGGAAGTCCAGTTGCCTCTTGAAAAAGCACCTTTGGGTTACCGTATTTTTCAGAGTATAAAACGCACCTTTCCCCCCCCTAAAAGAGGGTGAAAATTTGGGGGCGTCTTATACACTGAATAGAGACCGACCCACCCACCGTCCCCCACCCTTTGGCCTCCTTGCAGCAAACGGGGAAATGGGGTTTGCAGAAGCTGCAATAGGCTATGGCAGTGGTTCCCAAAGTTGGCAACTTTAAGACTTGTGGACTTCAACTCCCAGAATTCTTTCCTTCCTTCCTCTCTAGCCACCCTTCATCTGTTCTCTCCTTTCTTCCCCTGCTTCTCTTCCCTTCCTTCTCTAGCCATCCATCCTTCGTCTGATCTCTCCTTCCTTCCTTCGTCTGTTTCTCTTCCCTCCCTTCTATCCTTCCCTCCCTTCTTTATCCATCCATCCTTTGTCTGTTCTTTCCTTCTTTCCTTCCTTCCTCTCTAGCCACCCTTCATCTGTTCTCTCCTTTCTTCCCCTGCTTCTCTTCCCTTCCTTCTCTAGCCGTCCATCCTTCGTCTGATCTCTCCTTCCTTCCTTCGTCTGTTTCTCTTCCCTCCCTTCTATCCTTCCCTCCCTTCTTTATCCATCCATCCTTTGTCTGTTCTTTCCTTCTTTCCTTCCTTCTTTCCTCCCTTCCTCCCACTCCCTTCCCTTTCTAGCCATCATTGCTTTCTCCCTCCTCCCTTCTTCCCCCCTTTCCTTCCTTTCTTCCCTCGCTCTCGTCCTCTTCATTCTGCTAACCTTCCTTCCTCCATCCCTTTTTTCTCCCTCCTCCTAACCTTCCTTCCTTCTTTCTTTCCTCTTTTCTCCATTCCTCTAATCCACTTCCCCTCCCTTTTTTTTTCTCTTATCGTCCCCTTCTCCCTTCCCCTTCTATCCCTCATTTTTCCCGGCCTCCTTTCTTTCCTNTTCTCAATAAAGATTCTATTCTATTCTATTCTATCCTATTTTTTCTATTCTATTCCATTCCCTTCTCAATAAAGATTCTATTCTATTCTATTATATCCTATTTTTCTATTCTATTCCATTCTATTCCATTCCATTCCATTCTTAATAAAGATTCTGTTCTATGCTATGCTATGCTATCCCATTTTTTCCATTCCATTCTCAATAAAGATTCTATTCTATTCTATTCTATTCTATTCTATTCTAATGTTCACAGAGTCATCTCTGAAAAGCTGGCCCATTATTGAAGGTGTAAATAACTATGCTTCCAGAGCCAGGAGTTGTTTTTTTTTAAAACTTAGCTTTTTCCAGTCAACATTTATAAAGCAGCTTTGTTTTAATGCTGCTTCATATTATTTTATTATCATTTTGTTTTTGGAAGAAACTTATGGGGTTTCTACAAAGAAGGAAATTTTTTTAAAGCCCCATAGATATACATACATACTTCTCTCCTCTAGAGATTTCAGTTCTCTTTCTTCGATTCTCTACCGAATACAGAATAACAGAGTTGGAAAGGACCTTGGAGGTCTCCTAGTCCAACCCCCTGCTTAGGCAGGAAACCCTACACCACTTCAGACAAAAGGTTATCCAACCTCTTCTTAAAAACTTCCAGTGTTGGAGCTTTCACAACTTCTGGAGGCAAGTAGTTCCACTGATTGATTGTTCTCACTGCCAGGAAATTTCTCCTTGGTTCTAGGTTGCTACATTTAAACCTCAAAATAGGAAATGATTTACCAGGACTGTAGTGCCCAAACAAGTACCACAGATGCAAACACACATGCACAAATATATATTCAGGAATTACATGACGCTAAACATGTTATGCCTGATGCCAGAGTTGACAAGATGTCTTTCAAGTACACTGAGATAACTGAGAAGCTGTCCTTTTCCCAGTCATGTTTAAATTCATGGAAAATACGCATACATTAGGCAATGTGTAGAAATGAGGTGGGAGAGAATTCTCAGATCAAATTCTGCTATGGGAATTAAGATGCAATTTTAGATCGGGGTGGACAACTGCAGGTAGTCCTCGACTTACGGCCATGGCTGAACTCAAAATTTCTGTGGCTAAGCGAGACAGCGATGTAGTCAGTTTTGCCCTGTTTTATGACCTTCCTTGTTAGGTTAGATGCTGCAACTGTCATAAGCATCCAAAATAGTCCTAAGTCACTTTTTTCAGTCCAGTTGTAATTTAGAACGGTCACTATACATGCTTGTAAGTCAAGGACTACCTGCATGGCCTCTTTACGATCATAAGCGTGTTAGAATAGAATGGAATAAAATAGAATAACAGACTTGGAAGGAACCTTAAAGGTCTTCTAGTCCAACCCCCTGCTCAGGCAGGAAACCCTCTAAATGGTTGCTCAGTCTCTTCTTAAAAACTTCCAGTTGGAGATTCACAATTTCTGGAGGCAAGTTGTTCCACTGATTAATTGTTCTAAGTCTCAGGAAATTTCTCTTTAGTTCTAAGTTGCTTCTCTCCTTGATTAGTTTTCACCCATTGCTTCTTGTCCTACCCTCAGGTCTCTTGGAGAATAGTTTGACTCCCTCTTCTTTGTGCCAACCCCTGAGATATTGGAAGA